GTGCCAGGCCGGGCCTGGTACAGCCGGGCTGGTCCTCTCCCCTCACTGGGCCCCAAGTGTGCCCCCCTGCGGCTGGCGCTCTGGCCACAGCTCAAGTCCCTGTTCCTGCCCTGTCCCACCCTGTCACGGCTTGACCGTGGGCTGCGTGTGGATTTGCTCTGCTCCGTGGCTCGTTACCGTGTTGCCTGGAAAGGTGAGGTCCAGACCTCCTCTTCCTCAGAGTTGAGGGGTGTGCTCCATAGAATTCGGGTGAGCATGGGAGAAGAGGAGACAGGAAGTGTCTTGGTTCTGCACACGTTTGCGAGTGCAGAACCCAAGTGTGCTCCCCTGCACTCCAGGAGCTGTGGGCTGTCCCTGGGCACCCTCCTACCCCGAGCTGGTCCACAAGGCTCCTCTCACAGCCCTGCTCTGAACAGACAGTGGTACCTGCCTCACAGCGTCCCTTCCACCTGCGGCTGTGGCCGCGGCCAGCGCTGGCTGCCTGGAGCAGGAGGAGGCAAAGGGGCAGACTGTGTGTGAGGGAGGGGTTCCAGCCCTGAATGCGCTATCAGACTCACTGCCAGCCTTCGCCCGGCCTGGGCTCTCTCGTCTCCCAGGCTGCCTTCTCTGAGCTTCCATACCCGCCTGCACCAGGGCCTTCTCCCTCCACGCTGGACTCAGGCTCCTGTCTTCAGAAGTGCCCTGCCCTAGTCCCTGCAGGCGAGGCTAGCCATGTGGAACCCTGAGCTCCCTCTGCACCAGAGGGCCCCATGCTTAGCCAGGCCAAGGCAGGGGCATCCCGTCTTCCTGCTGGGCTCTCCAGGGCCTACAAGCCCCCCGGCTGCCAGGACGTAGCATCCCCACCCCCCTCCCTCCACCTCACCTTGGATCTACCGGCAGACCCTCACACACACCCCTGCCCTCCTCACTGCTCGCGCCCAGTCCACCCCTGCTGTTGGCCGCCACGCCTGCAGTGGCTTCTCAGCCCCCAGCCCTTCCAGAGCTCACACGTGGGGAGTCAGCACGTTTAAACATACATCATACCTCACCCTGTTCTGCCCAGCCCTAAGACCACCTCTATGTGGCCCTTCGAAGGCACCGGGTGCTCGCGGAGGTGGCTCTCGTGTCACATGGGGCTGCACAGTGCAGCCCGGCCCCATCTCCACCGCACACCCTCGCCCTTCCCCAGCGCCCCGCAACACCGTGGTCAGCCCTCCCCGGGGCCTTTGCAGGTGCTGCTCCTGCCAGGCCGGGCCTGGTACAGCCGGGCTTGTCCTCTCCCCTCACTGGGCCCCAAGTGTGCTCCCCTGCGGCTGGGGCTCTGGCCACTGGGCTGCGTGTGGATTTGCTCTGCTCCGTGGCTCGTTACCGTGTTGCCTGGAAAGGTGAGGTCCAGACCTCCTCTTCCTCAGAGTTGAGGGGTGTGCTCCATAGAATTCGGGTGAGCATGGGAGAAGAGGAGACAGGAAGTGTCTTGGTTCTGCACACGTTGCGAGTGGGTGCCTCACCGCATGGGCAGCACCGCCCGGGCCGCCGGGGAGCCCAGGACGGGCAGCTGCCGTTAGACGGGGAGTGACGCACTCTGCCGTCCTCTCATTTTGCCTTCATTATCACCAGGAGTTCTGAGACTCAAAGCACAAGACGAACGAAACGTTTTCTTCGAGAACTCCGAGTCCTAGTACTGTATCATGTCCTGCATTGGCTCGCCCAGACCCTAAGACAGTGATTAATCCCCATGTGTATTTACATCGTTGGATGATACTGTTTTGTATGAAAAAGACAACATACTTAAATGTTGTACAAACATATTCAAAAGGGAGTGGTCAGCCTCAGGACCCAGGAGAGGCGTGCATGTGTGTGAGTGCATGTAAAAAGAAAATGTAAAATGTGGAAGTGAGCTCGAACTATTGTGAGTGGTCCAGTGACACGTGACTTTGGACCTTTTCTCTCATTCATTTGCATTTCTGAGGCCGGTCACAAAGACAAATGCATACCGTGCTTATCGCTCACATCTCTGCACTTCCTGGAGACGTGCCGGCCGGAAGTGTGACTTTCATATCTCCGAAGACTATGTGTAACTCCTCCCACCTCTAGCCTTTGTTACATGACGGCTTGGTACTTTGTTGCCAAGACCAAGAGCAAAACCCGGGTGAATTAACTCACCCAAGTGCAGTGGGCAGAGTAAGAGCGAAGGCCATGGGGACCTACCAGGGCTTGGCGGTGTCTACACTGGTGGTCCACCTCACTGTACAAGGATCGGAGCCAATTTTAAAAGTCTGTGTGCACTCAGACGCAAGGATGAGAGGGTGGACAGGGAGGCACACGCGTGTTCAAAGCAAGCTGGGCAGCGCTCCCTCGCTTCCTGCGCACGGCAGCGGGCCCACGGGCTCTGCTTCCAGCTGACATGCGCATCGCCGCCGTCAAGCAGAAAAGCTGCATGAATTTAAACTTGGTTGTTGAGGACTCTTTTTAATTGAGTTACTACTGAGTTGTGGCATTGACTGGTTTTGCAACTCAAACATTAATAACAAAGAGGGCTGCTGAGCGTCCTGGGGGCAGCACACACGACTCTTTGTCTCCTCTTCAGGAAACGATGCCACGTCTATTGTCAACTGCCTCCATATTCTGGCTCAGACTTTGGACGCAAGGTAAATGGATACGTTTATCTAAGCAAAGTAGCGTGGAACTCTGCGTGAGTGTTAGGAGGGACCCAGTCTCTCGACTTCATTTGGGCTAGCGACGGAGCTCAGTGTAGGTTGAAAAGTACATCTGCAATTACTTACACAAGGCCACTTCGTTTTACCATCATATACGGTGGCTACTTGCTAACAGCAGGTGACCTCCGTCGGGGCTGGGAGTATGACCGAGGGGAGTAGCATTTGAGGAATTGCTGACGGGAGGCTCGGGGCCCCTTAGCTGCCAGGCGCCTGAGCGAGCGTTGGCCGCACCCAGCCGTGTGGGACGTGGGGTCGAGCTCCGTTTGCAGAGTGGAGTGGCACTGACAGCTGCATAGGGGTGTAGGTGGGCCACACCTGGCCCCGCTGTCCCGCCCTGCCCCACGCCGGCTTGACTGGAAACCAGACCAGTCTGCGTACTTGCCATGGTAGACTCGGCCTGGACGCCCCAGGATATGTCCCCAAAGTCCAGAGTCCCTGATGCTTTCTGACTGTCGTGCTTATGTGGGGTTTTATTCGAGGCGCCTCGGTAGTCCACGCAGGGAGGAGACACCCCACACACCTCGCGCCTTGAAGCAGTGCGCAGCTGGTCCTCACAGGCCTCCGCGAGCACAGTGGTCACACGTGGCCTGGAGATGGGGCTCACCAGCCCAGCTCCGAGCTGTGTTGGGGACTGGGGAGGACCACTGTCCACTGCGAGGCCTGATGCAGACCTGCAGCGCCGGATGGTCTTCGCTCCTGGCCTCGCGGGCTGCCTGGGCAGCATGGGAGAGGCCCCGGGGAGAGCGGGGTCCTGTGGGGCAGCCAGGCACGGCGTGGAGCCTGTTCCTTGGGCTTCCCTGGCCCCGTGAAGGCTCAGCCCTCGCCGCCCCCAGGACCGTGATGAAGACGGGCCTGGAGAGCGTGAAGAGTGCGCTGCGGGCGTTCCTGGACAGCGCGGCCGAGGACCTGGAGCAGACCCTGGAGAACCTGCAGCAGGGCCAGTTCACGCACACGCGGAGCCAGCCCAAGGGCGTCACGCAGATCATCAACTACACCACGGTGGCCCTGCTGCCCGTGCTGTCCTCGCTGTTCGAGCACGTCGGCCAGCACCAGTTCGGGGAAGACCTGATCCGTACGTAACCCCAACTCCTGGCAGGAGGCGGGGGGTGGAGCCCCTCCACCCCATGCCCGGGAGAGGGCCCGCTTCCGCTGCGCACACGGGCAGCCTTCGGTGGCAGCGTCTCGCCAGTAGATGCGAGCACAGGATGTACCCAAGTGCGGACTCCGTGTGCTTTCCAGCACCGGAAACTGCCGGGCACTGGTGTGCATCGGCCGTAAAGGCCAGGTCCTCGGATCAGGGCGCCACCGGGTCTCATTCCAGTCCCGGCTTACGGTGGAAGGGGGGCCGCGTCCTTCCTGTGGGTCAAAGGAGGGCCATCTGCACACGGATACACACGTGTGCACACAGGGAGGGAGCCCCTTCTCACACCTCACACGGCGCCCTGCAGTCCTCACGCCTTCTCACACGGTGCCCTGCAGTCCTCATACGGCGCACTGCATGAGCCTTACGTGTGGTGAATGGTTCAGTCCTTGCCGACCTTGACCCCTGGTAAAAGGTAGTCTTTGAATCTCTTTAGAACAGGACTAAAATCCACCTGTCTCTCTCCCCCAGAATTCATGGGTCTAATTTTATTCTTAGAGAAATCTTTTACTCTTATACCTAGAGAAGTTATGAGGAGATCGCCCTGAGAATGTTCTGGATGATCACAGAACATTCTTTAGAATGTTTTAGTTCCTTTAAGGAAAATTTGAGAAAAGTCTTGTATTTCCTTTTACGTGTGCACACTCGCATTTTGCTATTTGCACGTGTTAAGTGGTGGCGTGGGCTCAGGGGAGGGCTCCCAGGACAGGCGTGCAGCGCCGCTGTCATGTTCCGTGTTCCCCACGAGGCTCTCTCTCCTAGTGGAAGACGTGCAGGTGTCCTGCTACAGGATCCTGAGCAGCCTGTATGCCTTGGGGACCAGCAGGAGCATTTACGTGGAGAGGTGAGGGCTCGGAAGTTTGACTTGGTATGCAAAGCTGTTACAAGTCTCATAACTATTAATCTCTAGAGTCTTCACTTTATCTTTTCTTCTTTATAAATTTAACCACACTGACCTGTTAAATTGCTCAGGAGTAATTAGACAATCTTCAAATAAGACTAGGAGGGTACTTCTAAAAGTTTGTGGAAAGGTGGGATTCGTGTACTGTGGTGCAATAGATTTTGAAATCATACACAGTTTTTTTTTCTTAATATGCATCTTCCATGAACTTTTGCAAGACCCTTCCTACGAAAAGACCGAAGAGTCATGCAGAAAGTACAGCAGGGTAGCGAGGACCACTCCAGATATGCAGCTTAGCGTGTTTCTGAGTCTTCGAAAGAACCTGCTTCTCACTGGGGTCAGAATACAAAGCCGGCCTGGATGGAGGCAGTTGCTCAAAGCATTTTCATTTCTCTGTTCTCAGTTTTCAGAAGGGAGTGGTTAATGGTATGAAAAGACACAAAGTAGGAAAATGTGCCCTTACTGAAGTTCAAATAGTGACTTCACTAAGAAATCTTTATAGACCAGAGAAGAAAAATAGAGCAGTTTTAAAAAGACTACACTAAATAGAAAGACACTTTAATACATATAATGTGGGATGCATGGAGATTCTCCCTAAATTAATCTATAATTGAGGATTCATTACCACGCAGTTGCAAACAAACTTGCTCTTCACTGAGCTGTCAGAGTAACTAGGGAGCTCATCAGAGAATGAGGCCATGAACCCATAGCCAATAAAATTCTGAGTGAAGTAAAAGCGTAAGAAGGGTCCCTTACTTGGCTTATCAATTGTTAAAATTTATAAAGCCACACTAATGAAAACCGAGAGGCGGTTACATAGAAATTGGGAATGCAAACAATGGAAAAGGATAATTGAGATCATTCTGAATGTTTGCAAACCTCCTCCTGCATTTCAACTGAACTCTATTTTCATATCATTCCTGTGGTTGCTAGAAAAGGAATTTCATGCTGGTAGTGGGCTGCTTTCTGTCTTTCGCTAACTCAGACCGTTCCGGGCCTCAGAGGCCCGCGTGCTGGCCTCCACCATGCACTCTGAGTCGGAGCTCCTGCGAATGCACACCACAGAGAGCTCTGCTGCTCACAGAGGCCCGCGTGCACACCGCAGAGAGCTCTGCTGCTCACAGAGGCCCGCGTGCACACCGCAGAGAGCTCTGCTGCTCACAGAGGCCCGCGTGCACACCGCAGAGAGCTCTGCTGCTCACAGAGGCCCGCGTGCACACCGCAGAGAGCTCTGCTGCTCACAGAGGCCCGCGTGCACACCGCAGAGAGCTCTGCTGCTCACAGAGGCCCGCGTGCACACCGCAGAGAGCTCTGCTGCTCACAGAGGCCCGCGTGCACACCGCAGAGAGCTCTGCTGCTCACAGAGGCCCGCGTGCACACCGCAGAGAGCTCTGCTGCTCACAGAGGCCCGCGTGCACACCGCAGAGAGCTCTGCTGCTCACAGAGGCCCGCGTGCACACCGCAGAGAGCTCTGCTGCTCACAGAGGCCCGCGTGCACACCGCAGAGAGCTCTGCTGCTCACAGAGGCCCGCGTGCACACCGCAGAGAGCTCTGCTGCTCACAGAGGCCCGCGTGCACACCGCAGAGAGCTCTGCTGCTCACAGAGGCCCGCGTGCACACCGCAGAGAGCTCTGCTGCTCACAGAGGCCCGCGTGCACACCGCAGAGAGCTCTGCTGCTCACAGAGGCCCGCGTGCACACCGCAGAGAGCTCTGCTGCTCACAGAGGCCCGCGTGCACACCGCAGAGAGCTCTGCTGCTCACAGAGGCCCGCGTGCACACCGCAGAGAGCTCTGCTGCTCACAGAGGCCCGCGTGCACACCGCAGAGAGCTCTGCTGCTCACAGAGGCCCGCGTGCACACCGCAGAGAGCTCTGCTGCTCACAGAGGCCCGCGTGCACACCGCAGAGAGCTCTGCTGCTCACAGAGGCCCGCGTGCACACCGCAGAGAGCTCTGCTGCTCACAGAGGCCCGCGTGCACACCGCAGAGAGCTCTGCTGCTCACAGAGGCCCGCGTGCTGGCCTCCACCACGTGCTCTGAGTCAGAGCTCCTGTGAAGCACATGCGTGGAGCAGAGGGCTCTGCTGCTCACTCCACTTCCTTTTCTGAAAAATGACTCCGCTCATACTCTCAGGCTTTGTAAGTGAATGATAATTTCTCATTTTAAAATTCTGAATTGTTTTTACTATTTGAAAATGCAATACTGAAAACTAAAGTCTGATTTTAATTTCAAATGCATTTCCCTAATTAGCGGTCACTGGATTTTTGTGTGAGTTTTATCATTTGAATGTCTTTATGAGTGGCCATTTTACATCGTCCATTTTCTATTAATACTTGCCATACTGACTTGTAGTAATCCTTTTGTTTAGTAAAACAGTTAAATTTTTACCTATATTTTTTTGGCTTTTATGAATTTTATCATTTTTATAACTTTATAGTGCTTATGTACAGAACACTACATGCAGATGGTGTTTTAGGACGTGGGAATTTTGAATTTGTGTATGATCGAATTTTACATAGTTTTTGTATATGACATGGGCATACGAGTTTCAGTGGTTCATTAAACATTTTCCAATCCACTTACTTACATAGCAAGAATTCTTCCTTAGTAGGCCATTCTGTTCAAAAGAAAAGAAAGAGTAAAGAGAAAACAGGAGGGAAGGGATGGTGGGAGGAAGGAGGGAGGGAGGGTGGGAGGAGGGACGCAGAGAGCAGCAGCGCAGTCCAGACCATGGGATCGGTGACAGGCCTCTCCTTATTTCGGTCTGGAGTGGTTCTAACTCTTTCCTGCCACACACTTCAGCTCTTTAAAGTGGAGTGGATGATGCTGAACACAGACTGTGTTGCCACTTAGAAAGTGGATGTGGGGCAGCCCATGGCGTGGAGGTTAAGGTGGCTGGATCCCACATGGGCGACTGCACCATTCAAGTCCTGAACCCAGCAGCCTAAAAAACACACGGGGTGCATAGGCTACGTGCCCAGAAGCCCCCAGTGGGAGAGAGCTGGGGGAGAAGGCTGCAGCAGAACCCGGCCCCTGGAGTGGGCCCACTCTCCCCCTTCTGTCTCGGGTGAGTGGACGTGCCTTGTAAAGACTGAGAAGATGAAGAGTGGATCGGGGTTAACCGTGCTAGCAGCAGTGTCCCCCTCTTCCTGGCTAAACTCCTGGAACTCTGGTCCCTGCTTGGAAGCCTTACCGGAGGGCCTCTCCCATCCACAGGCAGCGCTCTGCCCTGGGGGAGTGCCTGGCGGCCTTCGCGGGTGCCTTCCCCGTGGCATTCCTAGAGACGCACCTGAACAAGCACAATGCCTACTCCATCTACAACACCAGGTCTTCCCGCGAGAGGGCAGGTACTCGGGTGGGGCGAGCGTGGGAGCAGGGGTGGAGCTGGGGTGTGAGCCAGGTGGGGCTGGGCAGAGCTGGGGTGAGTGCTTGTGTGGGAGCTGGCATGGAGGAACTGGGGTGAGAGTTACAGCAGGTGGGAGCTGGGGGGACAGAGCTGTGGTGGGAGCTGTGGTGGGAGCTGGGGGGACAGAGCTGGGGTGGGAGCTGGGTGGAGCTGTGGTGGGAGCTGGGGTGGAGCTGGGGTGGAGCTGGGTGGGGCTGGGGTGGGTGGAGCTGGGTGGGAGCTGGGTGGGAGCTGGGTGGGAGCTGGCGGGACAGAGCTGGGGGCAGAGCAGGGGTGGGAGCTGGGCGGGAGCCCGCAGGGAGCCCACTGGGAGCCTGCCTCAGGGCAGTGGTGCTCCACCATAATTTTGAGCCGACTGGATCCCGTTGCTGCAGATGCTGCTCTTTGTCCTTTAATGCCTGTAGTGTAGAGAGAGAGAGAGGGTCCCCTAGCTGGCTGGGGTCACAGGGATGTGGGCCGAGCAGCACAAGGAGGCCTGCACTGTGACCCCGGGCAGCTCAGGGGCCCCCGTGCTGTGTGCGGTGATGAGTCAGGAGAGCTGGGTAGAGCCGTCCCTGGAGGTGGGGTGTCACATCTGCAGTGCTTCCAGGTTCTGGCCTGGGCACGGGCGGATGCTATGGCCCAAGTCGGAGCAGGCTCGGGGCTGGAGAGGAAGGGACGCTGACACAGCCCCTCAGGATGACTGCTCCCGATGTCCAGGCCTGACAGAAATCTTACTTCTCTGAGAGAGGAAGAGAGGGACTGGCACCCCACACATACGCAGGGTCTGCACACGGGAGGACCCAGCATCCGCAGCCCAATCCAGGCTACACGTGCCTGGCACAACAGAGTCCTGGGTTGCGGCAGAGGCCTGGAATGCGGCAGAGGCCTGGGTGCCGTCCCAGGGCCTCTGTGCAGGTCCAGCTCCCTTACCACCAGCCACCGTTTGGCTGTGGCTTCGGGACCTCTGCCTGTAGCAGAGTCCCGTAGGAATGTCTATCTGGGGACAGTGCGAGCTGGAGAAGAGAAGTGAGGTGGAGGGCCCTGGGGAGTCAGCAGGGGGAAGGGCCAGGGCTGGCCGGGGACAGAGGGGCTGGGAAGGCTGGCCCTGCCCTTACGGAAGAGGGGGCCTCCAGCCAGGGGAGTCCATGCCTATGTGGAAAACCAGGGGCAGCCTGCGGGGCTGGGCGTGCGTGCTCCTGGACAGAGCCTGCACCTCCTGCAGGCTGCCGGGGAGGTGCCAGGGAGGGCTGGCAGGGCCTGTGGAGGTGCCAGGAGTGGCCTCCCCCTAGGGAGGGGATAAGCCCAGTCTGCAGGGGCAGCTGCGGCAGCGGGAGGGGCCACCTTGACCGTCTCTGTGCCCTGGGAGGGCCAACTGCTGGGGAGCTGGGTGGCGTGAGTGGCTGCTGGGGTGGGACCTGCACGGAGGGGCAGGCCCGGGCCGGGGCTCTCCAGTGCAGAGGGACCAGGCCGTCGGCCGGAGTCCCCGACATGGCGTCCCGTGCTCTGCAGCCCTCAGCCTGCCCCCCAGCGTGGAGGACGTGTGCCCGAACATCCCGTCGCTGGACAAGCTGATGGCCGACATCGTGGAGCTGGCCGAGGCGGGCACGCGCTACCCGCAGGCACCGCATGTGGTGGAGGTGGTGCTGCCCATGCTGTGTGCCTACACGTCGCGCTGGTGGGAGCGCGGGCCCGAGGGCGGCACGCAGGGCCCCGAGGCCTGCTGCACCGCCTTGCGCGCCGAGCACATGGACACGCTGCTGGGCAGCATCCTCAAGATCATCTACCACAACCTGGGTGTCGACGAGGGCGCCTGGATGAAGCGGCTGGCAGGTGAGTGCTCCTGCCGCTGCTTCCCGGGCCATGCCGGGCCGTGCCCGGGGCCGTCACCCTCGTCCTGCCCTGTCCCCGACGGGTGACTTCCCATGGCCTGCCCGTCTCTGGAGTCAGCATTCCCTGGCTGGACACGAGGGACGCACCAGTAAACACGGTGGATTCCGATGAACGGGCGGTGGGCGGCTTGGCGAGGGCGAGCCCTGAGGTGTGGCGTGTGAGGTCACGGCCCCCTGCAGCTGAGAGCAGAGATGCGGGGCCCACTTGGAGGCCTCCTCCTTACACGTTCCCCGGTGTACTCATGTGACTCAGTCCCCATGTTAGTTTCCAGCCACCCTGGCCATCAGCAGCAGTGTTGGTGTCAGTCGGAGGGCACAGGGGCCTGTGCCCCACCGCGGGCGTCCCGGGGGGCCGACGGAGCTGCCCGGTGCTCAGCCGCTGCCTGTCCTCACAGTGTTCTCCCAGCCCATCATAAACAAGGTGAAGCCTCAGCTCCTGAAAACCCACTTCTTACCTCTGATGGAGAAGCTCAAGAACAAGGCGGCCATGGTGGTGGCGGACGAGGACCAGCTGAAGGCGGAGGCCCGGGGGGACATGTCGGAGGCTGAGCTGCTCATCCTGGACGACTTCACTACGTTGGCACGGGACCTGTATGCCTTCTACCCTCTCCTGATCCGATTCGTGGACTATAACAGGTACGCTGCCCCAAACCACTCTGCTCCCCGGCCTGGGCACCGCAGGTGCAGCTGTGCCCGTCTGCTTGACCGCGACCGTCACGTAGCGGAGTGTCTGAACCTGAGCTCCTTTCTACCAGGAATTTCTTTTTAAAATAATTACTCATTTTATTTTATTTTTATTCATTGATTTTATTTTAATTTGTCCAGGGAGAGACACAGAGAGAGAGAGTAAAAGTAACAGAGTAAACTACCAGATCTGGGACTCGAACCATGGCTGGCCATGTGGGAGTGTCCAGCGCCCCAACTACCACGCCATCTGCTGGCCCCTTCTACCAGGCATTTTGAAATTAGAGTTGGAAAGTGCATTCTGAAGCAATCTGCCTTTCACATGTCAAATTTGCAGTTTGGGAGCCGGCAGGTGGCGTGCAGGTTAAGGAGCTGGACTCCTGTGTGACCGACTGCAGTTGGAGTCCCAGACCTAGCGACTTGCTTTCTCACTTTTCTCAGTTTTCTTTTTCTCTGTCTCTCTCTGGTCAAATTAAAAAATAATAGCAACATAAGTAAATCATCCTTGATAAAAGGCTTCAGTGTGGCGGCCACGTTCAAGTTCTCTTAAGTGCTGCTCCTGTGTGCTGAGACCACGCCGAGCTCTGTGGTCTGGCCAGTGTTGCTGCTTTACGGAGTAACTGGGACCTTTCTCTCGTGGTTCAGGGCGAAGTGGCTCAAGGAGCCTAACCCAGAGGCTGAGGAGCTCTTCCGCATGGTGGCTGAGGTGTTCATCTACTGGTCCAAGTCCCACGTGAGTTGAGTGCCCGCCGCATGGCCGCCGTCTGTTGGGGCTCTGTAGTCAGGGAGGGTGTTTTCCCAGTCTCTCCACAGACCGGCGTCTTCGCAGCCTTCACGCCCATAGTCAGGGTGTCGTTAGCTGTGGGGGAGAACAGCCCCCTGGGGGTGTGAGGAAGCATAACCCTTTTGGAGTTGTGATGTGTCTTTAAAAGAACCACAGGGCTTTGGAATTATGCTGCTTACACATGCTTCAGGCTCCCCTCAATCTCGGGGCGCCAGCTTCAGTAGACAGCTGCATGTTGCCACGCCACCCCACGAGTCCTCGCCGCAGCTGGAGAAGCACTGGTGTTCGCAGGGCACGGTCGCCCTCCGGAGACAGGTGAAGGACTGCCCAGACATCCCCGCTGGGCGCCCGTGGCTACAGGAATGTGCTTTGACTCGCCTTAGAGTCGGCTTTTCCTTCTGAGGGGTCCTCGACAGAATTCTGAGCATCAGTCATTTTCTCTATTTCATTTCTCAAGTAGAACTAAATTTTTAAAAATCTTTAAAAATCTTTTGAAAAAAGAACTATATTTTTAAGAAATCTTTTAATAAAGGAGTTTAATCCTGAAGAATCTTTTACTCTATCAGTTATTTCTGGTAGCTAGGATAGTATGATCACGTGGGCATTTACTGTCGTCCCATAGTATTCACGTTTAGAATTTCTGTATCAGATGTAATTCCGTAATAATAGACTTCTGCTCTGATTGGATAGTTGCACATTGTGTCTGTATATTAAAATCACTATACCCCATAAAACCTTCATTATGTGCTAATGAAGAATAATAGAACATAAATAAACACAGAAGACAAAAGCCTTAACTTCAGTTTCATCATCTAGAAATCATTCCCATTTTTTTCATCCAATTGTTGCATTAATGAAATTACTTTGAACACATGATTTTTTAGAAAATAAAATATTTGTATTTAATATTTAGCAAAACAAATACTGTTTGTTGCCTGTGTGCATCTGAGAAGTCTAATCGTCCCACGCCACTTACAAAAACACGACACAGGACCTGCAGCAGTGCACCACACAGAAGTGATGCGCGAACCAGCGGCGCTCCCCTTTCGGTCTCAGAAACAATGTGAGGCTCCTCAGAAACCCGCACACAGAACGGCCACGGCCCAGTGGCCCTGCTCCTTGGTATTTGCCCAAAGGAAGTGATGGCTGTTTTTTTTTTTTTTTTAGATTTTTTGCCATAAGGTATGTGGGCTTGCCGGAGAGAGACAGAAAGAGAGGGAAAGTGAGGAATCACCCTCAGGGTGGGGGATGACCATGAAGCCCTCCCTTCTCCCGCCCCCTCTCGGGATTTGGGGCACGCACACACGCTCACCCAGTGTGTTTTTCAGGCCGGCTGGGTCAGGACTCGAGCCATGGAGTCGGCCATGTAGGATGCAGCACCGTAACCACCGTGCGACCGGCTGGCCCACATGCAGGGTTATTCCCATGTTGACTTTTCCCACGTGATGTCATGGGAAACTATTTTAGATCCTTCATATTCCTCTAGATAAAAGCGGAGAGCTTCTTATTCGAGGAGGGTGCGTTAGAGCAGCCGGGACATCTGTAGGAAAATTTAAAACCCATGAGAAATCCATCTTTTTTAAAAAAATAATTATTTATTTAGCTTTTATTTATTTATTATTGCCATTTAATTTGCTATAGGGCACGTGCACTTGTAAGGGTCCAGAGATTGGTCTAACTGATGGAGACACAGAAAAGACAGCGACAATGCAACTGCAAAAGAGGCTTTTATTCTTTTTCCAGCTAGCTGGGGTCTGAGTTTCTGCCCGTCACAGCGGGTCTTAACAAGGACCCCGAGCCTAAGATAAAGGGATCTTTTCTAATACAGGATTTTTCCATAGAATGTCACACATACAAAGGAGGGGGTATGAGAAGCGAGGGTCCAGCTGTCACCACCTGCTCAGGTCTAGAAAAGGGCTCTCAGCTAAGGATCTGGATGACCTTGCCTCGGAGGTGCTGGGCCCTCCCGTTTTCCACTATCTGAGAGTTCCCAGACTCCTGGTTTCCGTCCTTGAGGCCCTAACAAAGTGGGCTCCGGCCTTGAAGACTTAACAGTGTAGCAATTAAGCGAACTCGGCCCAGCATTTCCTAACATGGCAGTGATTAAGCTAACTTGGCCTAACACAATTACCAGAGAGAGAGAGAGAGAGAGAGAGAGAGAGAGAGAGAGAGGAAGTGAGAATGCAAGCCATCAGGTCCTGGACTTGAACCGTGGTTGACTATATGGGAGTCTAGCGCCTTAACCACCATGCCACCTGCTGGTCCCAAAATTAATCTGTTTTGAGCTGCCATAGAACCAAGGTGGTTTTCACTTAAATGTACTCTGTCGGGTCACTCCACCTCTGCTAGGCAGGAAGGAGGGGTGCGGAAGTCACTCACCAAGAATAGCGCCTGCGTGTTCTTCTGTGAACTGGAACCTTCAACTCCGATCTCTCACATGTCGGAGATGCTTCTTTAAGTTTATATGCAAGAGCATTTATATTCAACTTACAGTCAGTGAGGTTTTAAAACACGTCTAAGGACGCTATAGGGAATAAGAGCAAAATCTGAAACTGCACTTGGATGTCATGGCGTATCTAACAGAGAGCTACTAGCACATGCCTACCCTCCCGCAGATAAGTCAAGACGCGTTCACCTTGATGTTCTCAGGTTAAAAGTGAACAAAACAATGTGCTGGCACTTAGGGAAGCAGCCAGAACATCTGGCAGGACAGAGAGCTGCATCTCGCTGTGTCCTTGGCGCCTGTGCTCACCCTGGGGGTGGGACGCCCTGTCCCAGCTGCCCAGGCTGGGCCATCCTGCTCCAGGCCGAATGAGCGACCTGGCAGTGTGATCTTGTGAACCTTAGTGTCCCTGTCTTGAGATGTACCCTGACAATCGTCGAGTCATGTGTCAAATCAATACTGATTGGTCCTGTGTCCTGTCTCATTATACGGACTTCTTATCTGCATGGTTTTAACTGAAATTTCCTTTGCAACTTCCTCAGAATTTCAAAAGAGAAGAGCAGAACTTCGTTGTACAGAATGAGATCAACAATATGTCGTTCCTCATCACAGACACCAAGTCAAAGATGTCGAAGGTATTTCCCTAAATCGCTGGGCTGTTCTAGAAAACATGCGAGTGCAACTCTCACACATTGATGTTTAGATGTTTCCAGATGTGTAACTGCAGCCGGCTAGATTCAGTACGTTGTCTACTGACGGTGTCAGGGTCCCCAGCTGGCGTGTGCCCGGAGCGCTGTGCCCATAAAGCAGATGGCCTCGCCAGCATTGATGAACGGCCGTGCTCGCTCCAGTTTCTAAGACAGGAAATGCAAGGTGACAGATAGGAACCGCTCGATCTTAACATTCCCCCTCCAAATTTCTAAAACTAAAACTAGGAATTTTTTTTTGAGAGGTTTTTGATACAGGGCGCGTGCGCTCGCCAGACAGAGAGAGACATACAGACAGAAAGCAAGAAATCACCCCCCAGGGGAGATGGTCACGCTGCAGTCCCTTCTCCTCCATTCTCCTCTTGGGATCTTGGGCACGCAAGCACACGCGCCCAGCGTGAGTTTAAGCCACCGCGTCCGGGACGCGAACCGCAGTCGACTACTTGGGAGTCCAGCGACACAGCCATTACGCTAACTGCTGGTCCCAAAACTAAGAATTTTTAAACATCAGACTGCTTGCCTGAGACAAGACAGATGGAAAATAATCAGAGGAAGGTGAGAAATCCCTACTCCACCTGCTGGAAGACCTGGGGATTACAGGATCTGCTTAGCGTCCTCCCTCTACAGGACTCGCTTTGCCTGCTTGTGTATTTGAGATCTCGGGGGCATCCTGGCACAGAGACCCCTCCCCATAGCTGAGGGAACGGGAGCGCAAGTGCAAACACCTGCGAGGACGCAGGCTGTGGGCAGCGTGGAGTGTGGGCGTCCGGGACGCGAACCGCAGTCGACTACTTGGGAGTCCAGCGACACAGCCATTACGCTAACTGCTGGTCCCAAAACTAAGAATTTTTAAACATCAGACTGCTTGCCTGAGACAAGACAGATGGAAAATAATCAGAGGAAGGTGAGAAATCCCTACTCCACCTGCTGGAAGACCTGGGGATTACAGGATCTGCTTAGCGTCCTCCCTCTACAGGACTCGCTTTGCCTGCTTGTGTATTTGAGATCTCGGGGGCATCCTGGCACAGAGACCCCTCCCCATAGCTGAGGGAACGGGAGCGCAAGTGCAAACACCTGCGAGGACGCAGGCTGTGGGCAGCGTGGAGTGTGGGCTCCCCGTTAGGAGACGGCGGCGGGGCAGCCAGGGCTGTGTGGTTGGTGGGAGCCTAGTTCCACCAGGCAGAGGGCACCCAGCTCCCTCTCCGAGGGAGAGCGCCGCGGGCGGTGTGCAGTGCCTCAGCTGTTTCCGGGAGGGCCCGTCTGCATATCTGGGGCGTCGTGAAGCCGCCTGCTGCTGCCCGCTCTCGTCCTGGACGGCCGTGCTGCCCTGGTTGTTGTGCTGCCCGCTCTCATCCTGGACGACTGTGTTGCTGCCCGCCCAGGCAGGGGAGGAGGAGGGGAGGCCCCACCTCGCTGGGCCGTGGTTCGTCCAGCCCAGGCTGACAGCCTCTCCTGAGATCGGTCTGCGTAAGGTTCTCTAGGTTCCCGTGACCTCTATTAAATGAGGCCATTTTGGATGAAACCATTAGCGTCATTAAATTGGAATGGTTATTATCATTTGTGTACATGTGTGTGCACGTGGGAGAGTCAGACAGAGGTTGGCCAGCTGGTTGATATGGGAGCCGGTCCCGCCTGTCCCCGCCCTCCCCAGTACACCGCGAGTGGGCCGTGCAGCACACACCACATCTGGTCAGCGCGAGGGCAGGGGTGGGGAGGAAGGGCGTGCAGAGCCTGCCGCATCCCTGCCGTGGCTGGGCTTGGTACTGGCTTCGAGTACACAGGAGGGAACTGCGGGTCTGGGCGTGGGCTCGGAGCGAACAGGCTGCTGGGTGCGAGGCCGCTCAGTGGCACAGGCCGAGTCTCTCCGCGTGGCGGTAGTTTGTCCACATGTTCAGAGGTCTGTGGCCTGGCTCAGGCTTTCTGCGTCTGCTCGTCCGCAGGGACCGCTTGCCAGGCGCCCCCTGCCGAGCCGTTGTGTCCATTTCAGTTCTTGTGTTGTAGTATTTCCTCACGATTTCTAAACCTCAAATCGAGTGTGAGCCTGCTACCATGGCCTTCAGAGCAAGAGAACTCAGCTCCTTAAAATCAGACAGCTCTGACACCAGCCAAATTCAGACTTTCACATATTGGAGAATTTCTTTTACTGAAACGAAATGATCAGCACTAGATAGAAACATGCTTACATCATTTGTGTCAATGTGTTTAATTTTTAGGTGATGGTTTCTCATTTGGTTAGTTATTTTGTCTTTTTAGTTATGCTTTCTGGACAAAGAGCAGCTCTGATCCATTATTTATATGAGTAATCAATTTAATATACAAATACAGATCATTCAGATAAATTATTTACCCTAATGAAATTACTGGGAATAATCTTTTATAAGGTGACATGTATAAAAATGGGACCCATGCAATAAACACATTCCTGTGTCACACGAATATGACAGTAAAGTTGGGGGAACTTTAAGCGTGATATGCGTACCAACATGTGTGCCATTCTGTACCAGAAACCCCTGGGGCCCTAGGATGGAGCGGAGCTGCACGCGGGGTCCGGCCTCTGCTGCCGGGCGCCAGGCTTCTCAGCTTGGCCTCCTTGCTGTCCCTTTCTGCTGCAGCAGCGTGTGCTCCGTGCTCCCTGTAGAGAGAAAAGGAGACAGGAAGGGTGGAGAAATCACGCCCGGGGGGAGATGGCTACACCACCACACCTTCCCCTCTGCTCTCCTCTCGGGTTTGGGCACGCACACAAACACCCCGGGTGCTCTTCCAGCCATTGGGTCTAGGACGTGAACTGTGAAGTCAGCCATGTGGGACCCAGGCGCCTTGAACACCACATGGGTGACTGCCCATATTTTGCCTTCTTTTGAGCAAAACAAATCATTTTGCATTTAATGTCTCTTACTTTTTTTTTTCAATAGTCCAATGGGATTACTGTACGTCATTATAAAACTATGTTCCAAGTTTTAATTATTGCTACAAAAAATGTCTAAGTGGTATACTCAGCTGTGAGCTGATGGGTCGTCGGGAGCCCCCGAATGGGAGGGCACTGTGGACAGTGTGTTGGGTCTGTTTCCACCAGAGAGGGACAGAGGCTGCGGAGGCGTGTTCACGAGAGCCCTCGCCGGGCACGCTCGTGCTATGGGGAGGGATTTCAAAAGGCCGCAGGAAAATGCGCGCTATGAAGTTACGTGTGGGCTTTTAATTGTCCACATCAAACTAAACTGCATTTTGCTTCTATTTTTCTACAAACTTTTTGAAGTGCCCTTGCACATATATGTATGCATGTTGCAGAGCAAGCATTTGCCAGAACAAGCCCCCCATCTCCTTCTCCTACACTTCGAGAATTAGGAAACAGGCAAAATCTGAAACTACCGTATGGCCCTCTCTCCTAAATCGCTTGGAGGTGCATGCCGTGAGCCGTGACGGCCGAGGGTTAGGGTTGGGGTCAGCGAAGGCTTTGGCCTGTGTGTGACGTGGCGCTCAGGCTGGGCCAGGCTGCCCCCTGCACATATATGTATGCATGTTGCAGAGCAAGCATTTGCCAGAACAAGCCCCCCATCTCCTTCTCCTACACTTCGAGAATTAGGAAACAGGCAAAATCTGAAACTACCGTATGGCCCTCTCTCCTAAATCGCTTGGAGGTGCATGCCGTGAGCCGTGACGGCCGAGGGTTAGGGTTGGGGTCAGCGAAGGCTTTGGCCTGTGTGTGACGTGGCGCTCAGGCTGGTCCGGTCTGCCCACAGGCCGCTGTGTCTGACCAGGAGCGGAAGAAGATGAAGCGCAAGGGGGACCGCTACTCCCTGCAGACCTCGCTGGTCGTGGCCGCCCTGAAGCGCCTGCTGCCCGTCGGCCTCAACATCTGCGCCCCGGGCGACCAGGAGCTCATCGCTCTGGCCAAAAGCCGGTTTAGCCTGGTGAGCTGCCCCAGCATGCTGCAGTCCCTCCCGCCCCAGGTGCCGCCCCTGCCTGCGGCCGGCCATCACAGCTCCACATGCATGCTTAGGTCCGCAGTTCCCTGCACTGGCCCCAGGCTCGAGAACAGACGGGGCCTCCCCCAACCCTCTTTCCTCGAGACCATTTGTTTCCTAAGTCAGTTTGATCATCTGAGGGCATATCCAGGAAGCAAACAGAAAAGGTGGAAGCAGATCTCGGGGGTGAGAAGGCGGGTTTCCCATGCACCCCTGTATCTCAGGTTCAGGTGTGGGAAGGCGACTTTTCAGCCGGTTGTGGTTAGACGGGGTTCGCCTTAGGTCAGCCCGTCCCCATGTCCTCATGCTCCATCGGAGCGGGGGGATGAGGGCACAGCCTTGCAGGACTGCACACTGCTTTGTTTTTAGAGGGTTTTGCCTTAGGGCATGTGTACTCCCTGGGGAGAGGCAGAAGCAGTAGAAAAGTGACAAGTCCCCCCTTTGAAGGGATGGCCAAGCCAAATCCCTTCTCCTCCAGTCTCCTCTCAGAATCTCGGGCATACATGCACATGTGCCAGGTGTGAGTTTCAAGCCACCAGCCACTAGGTCTGGAACTTCAAGTGTGGTTGGCCATGCGTGGAAGTGACATCACGATTGTACCACCTGCTGGCCCCTGGAGTTACCATTTTATAGCTGTGATTGGAGGGCACGTCCTCCCCTGTCCCCACAGAGACGGCAGTACCCGCCTTCTGCGTCCTGAGTGGGACCCCACAGTGCAGGATCAGAGGTCGTGGCAGTCCAGTGCTGGGCTCCTGTGTGAATGCTTTGCAGCCTTCCTGGGTCATGAGGGCTCATGATGTGGTGGAGACTGGAGAATGCTGGGGCTACGTTCAGCCCAGGGTCCCCGCTTTGCCCTGGGGTCTGGCTGCAAACTGGGGCCTTAGCTGTGGCCTCATGGCAGGTCCAGCCCTGCCCAGGCTGCAGCAGGACCGAGCAGTTTCCTGGAGGGCACTCCCATGTGTGCCATGTTTTCTTTCTAAGAGAGATTTTTGATAGGGCCTGTGCGCTCGTCAGAGAGACAGAGAGCAAGGAGTCACCCCCGGGAGGGATGGCATGCTCACGCCCTCCTCCATTCTTCTCTCGGGATCTCGGGCACGCACACACGGCCAGTGTGGGTTATAAGCCACTGAGTCTGGGACTCGAACCGTGGTGGACTATGTGGAGTATATAACCTAGCCGTTGGCCATCTGCTGGTCCCGTGGCATGTGTACTCTGATGGAGACGTTGGCCACAGCCTGTCTCAGAAGTGAGGGTTGTGCTGTGCTGTGCAGATGACGCACAGTTAAGGCTGTCTGGGGGACGTGTGTTTCTTGACAGAAGGACACCGAGGACGAGGTGCGAGACGTGATCCGCAGCAACATCCACACACAAGGCAAGGTAAGCTGGGTGTCCTCACCTGGTCTCCCAAGGCCCCACGTGCTGTCCCCGAGCAGGGGAGGCCGGGTCATGGGCACCCTGTGTGCAGACGCTCTCGTATTAAAGCCGTGAGGGTGACCAGGACCGTCCTGTAAAGCAGACGTCCGAGTCCGGCCAGCTCTGAAGCAGCGTCGCCCTGGAATCACAGTGGGGTTTCAGGGCCTGGGCCGCAAGGACGGGGCCCTGAGGCAGTGCACTGAGCACCCGCGGGCTGTCCGAGAGCCACAGCGGGTCCTGCCATGGCTGCCGCGGGGAGGGCAGCGGTGGGACGAGCCCACCCCACTGATTACGAGGCTGGAAGTGGCCTCTGTGGTCCAGGAGCGTTTCCTGTTTCTCAGAATTTTTTTTCCTCCCAGTAAATAAACGATTCGTTTGTTCTCAGAACCTGTTAGGTCGTTTAGAAAGTCTGTTAGTCTCATTGTCTCGAGTACATACCAGAGGGAGACAGAGAGAGAAAGTGAGGAAGCACCCCCGTGGGGAATAGCCCTGCAGTGCCTTCTCCTCTGGTCCTCCCTCTGCCCAGATTCTGCACCAAGCCTGTTTCTCAAGGCCCTGGGCCTGGGATTCGAACTGCACAGCCAGCCACGTGGGTCCAGGCACCTGACCCTCCAGGCCGCCTGCTGGCCCAAGACATCTGTTTTGACTGGGACCACTGGTACCTGTTCTGGTGTCTCTTCTGAGGGTCTTCCCCATTATGGAAGTGTCTGAAGGGCTGTGGGCCTAGCTGCGGGACGCGCTGCCTCCCTGGGCATCACTGTGTCTCCTGCCAGAGATGCAGAGATCTCCCGGCAGGCTGGGAGTGTGCTGAGGACGAGACTGGCCTCCAGGCCACGCCGAGCTGGCAGCCCTCAGACGGCAGCAGCTCTCAGGGGCTGGGACAGGTCTGGTTGGAGGGGAAGCTCTTCCCAGAGAGCCAAGGGTTGGGAAGGCCGACGAGGGCTTGTAAGACCCCAGCAGTGTTGCAGGGCGGGCTCTCCCCCTCAGGTTAATGCTGGGCGTTTTCCGTACGTGGGCGTGTGAGGAGATCTCCTGCACCCTGGTCCCAGGGGGCCCCAGGCCTCTGGTCTAGTATAGTCACCCCTGAGTGGGGACGGGAAGGTCAGATCCCCAGAAGCGGCGTGAGGGGCTGCATGGGAGTACTGAAGCCACCGTGGAGGCCGTGAGCAGGAGTGCTTGGACCATGTCGGCCGTGCACTGAGGCGAGGAGGGGACAGGGAGGCAGATGGGGATGCTCAGCCACCCTTCCCGCAGATACAGGAGACCTGTCGTAAGGACCTCAGGTGCACCGCCAGGCTGACTGGTGGCGCAGCTCTCGGGCACGGGCTGGCGCAGCATGCAGCCTGGCCCCCGCATTCCCTGTCTCCTTGGTCACAGTGAAAGGGATTGTGGGGCGGTCACCCCAAGGCCAGCAAGAATGCGGTTACAGCCTAGGCATACAGACGCAGGGCTTCACGGAGGAGAGAGCCCTCCACTGTCTGTCACGCAGGGCGGAGCTTGCCCCGTGTTCCCCAAGATGCATCAGACATTGCCCATCTGCTGCCACGTGGTCCTCAGCCCCCCGGTGGGCAGAGACCCAGAGTAGGAGAGAGACGGGCACCGTGCCGCTTCTGCCATGAGCTCGGCCGTGTGACGCCTGCATCTGTCGGGTATTTGGAATTTCTTAACGGAATGTGAAGACTTCAGTTACGTCTTTCATTGAAGAAATTTTAAGTATTAAAGAGGAGAACTTGGGGCCGGCAAGTGGCGCTGTGGTTAAGAGCACCGGACTCCCACACGGCTGACTGTGGTTCGAGTCTCGGACCTGGTAGCTTACTTTCTGTCTCTCGTTCTGTACTTCTCTGGTCAAAATTAAAATAAATAAGTAAGTAAATAAAGTTAAATGAAATAATTCTAAAAAAAAAAAAAAGAAAAAAAGAAAAAGAGACCTTCATGATGAGGGGACTCCTCAGTCCTCCGTGACGTGCTGTATTGGTCTCAGTGAGACGAGGCTGAGCTGGAGAGGCCCGCGTTTTGGCCCGCAGAAGCCAGCCTGTGCATCTCCCAGCCCCAGGCTCCTGTGCAGGAGCCTCCCAGCCCCAGCAGGGCCGGCGCCAGCCGTGGTACCTGAGTTTCTCTTAGCGGCCGTTGGCGTCCGTATTTAGGCATCCGGACTGACGCTTTGGTCTATGTAAGGGGACCATCACCATCATCCGGCCGAGGAAATCAGACCCGTGTCCTCACGTGTGTCTCGGCCTTGCCTCCACATGCGTCAGGACTCCCGAAGCCGGCTCTCAGCCAAGGTCTAGCCTAGCGGTGTGTCACTGACGTGGCCGTGCCGGTACGAGGTTGGTCCCAGGCCTGTCCGCCCTGCAGCCCTGCGTGCGGCCCCGCACTGTGCTGACCGACCCTTCGGCAGTAGGCGTTCCCTCTTGGTGGTGGCCCTGTGCTTGCAGCCTTTCCCTGTTTCTGCAGCTGGAGGACCCCGCTATTCGGTGGCAGATGGTGCTTTATAAGGACTTACCAAACAGGACGGAGGACACCTCTGATCCGGAGAAGACAGTGGACAGAGTGCTGGACATGGCGAACGTGCTCTTCCACCTCGAGCAGGTAGGCGTCGTGTGGAACCGTGTATACCCCAGCCTCGAGCACGGGTATACACCGAGGGTGCTCCTTGGTCACCTGCAGGCCACACTGTGCGTGCCCAGCATGTCCTCGGTCAGGCTGTGGTCAGGAGTGCTCCAAGTCCGTGAACACAGCTTCCAAGCCTAGGGTCTCTGAAGCAGCATTTAGATGACGTGTTTTGGGGGATGAGGGCCTCTGTCTTACTGTCTTTAAAAAATATTTCTGAAATGATGCGGATAGTTAGAATTACATTCCTACTTCTCTATCACTCTGACAAATTCTGAGGTCTAGCTGACCACAGGCATTTTCTGCTTGGTCGCTTTTTGTTACTGTTACAGCATTATGTTTGAGGTGGAGTCTCTCTGGTTTCGTAATTGAAGCGTCTCTCATCTCTTGCTTACCCTTTTTAGTAGAGATATCCTGAGGTAATTTTCTCAGCGACTAGGAGCAGATTTTACTTCAAGACGAGCTGTGCTTTCGTATTAAAACCACAGGAGGAAGTGTCTTGTGAAGGTTTTAGCTGTACCTGTCGCATACCACCGCCCCGAATCTCCGGGACGGCATGCGAGGCCCCGGGAGGCAGTGCTTACGTGCTGGTAGTGCAGAGGGCTCCCTCTGGTACGTCAGACCTTGCGGCACGCAGACACAGGGACACCCCGTGTGATCAGCTGGCACAGCACCCAGGCGGGGAGCTCACGGCCGGGAGGGTCTTCATGAGGATGCCCAGCTGTGGTCGGCCACTCTGCGGTGAGAGACAGCAACAGCCACCTCTGTGGTCTGTCACCTATTTCGGAGAATTAGACCTTTGTGTGTACTTAGCCACACTTGAACACGTTGGGCAGGGCAACGAGGGACATTTTGCCTCCGTTCTTGTTCTGTGTATCTGAACCCCGCCTGCCCTGCCCAGTTCAATGGCATGCGGACCTCATCTCCTTTCTCCTGTGGTTTTAATATCAAAGCACAGCTCGTCTTGAAGCCCCGCTGACTCCTTTCCCTCTTGTTTACAAATGCCCTGGCACCTCGAGGAACTTGGGAAAGGATAGACAGGACAGATTGGGGACCGGGTGTAGAATCGCTGCTCTGCGTGTAGACGGGCCTTGGCCGTTACGCGCTCATTTTTATAGGGCCTGTAGGGATGGCGACGGTGGGCTTCCTAGGTGCCTGCACTGTCGTGGTTTTGCGCGAGTCTCTTTGCCTTCTCGCTGATGCTGGCTTCCCCCAGCCATGCTGTCCTGCAGTGCGCAGCGGACTTGGGCTTGCCTCTGCACAGCTCCATGTTATCTGCTTCGAAGGTTTCCCGCCCAGATTTGGCCACTCCCCGCATTCTCCGAGGTTCACCACCACGCGTGGCGGGGTCGAGGCAGCTGGCAGACCCTCAGAACAGCCATTAACTTGCGTCCGCGTTATGTGACACCCTGGGACTGCATTGCCCCATGGATTGCCAGCACTTTTTCATGAAATATTAAATCCATGCAGCTGTCAGCAAGCCATGAGGTGATGAGTTCTTGTGGTCGACACAGAGACATAGCGTCGTTTCTAGAATACATACGTGTCGAGATTACTAAACGCTGCTTCCACCTGGGAGGTGGCATCCAGGTGCCCAAGTTTAACCCTTCCTGGTTTCTGTACACACGGCAGGATTCACTTGGGGAGAGTCCAGGTCCACGAGTGGGGCTTGCGAGGGCCTGGTCTGACCCATCCCTGTTGGCGTGTTGCCTTGTCAGACCTGTCAGTCACGTGGATGCCGTCCTTTCGGAAGTGTGGCCAATTGCCGAGCATCCCCAGGTCTTGGCCGCTCCCAGGTGGCATGGCTTCAGCAGGTGCCCAGGCCACAGGCTCACCTCTGAGCGGAGCAGGCACTGAGCCAGTGGGCTGGCCTGGGTGTCCAGGCTGTCACTGAGCTGAGGCTGTGGAAGAGCCCTTGCTGACTCTCACTGTGAGAGGCAATCCCTGCCAGGACCCTAAAGGAGAGTGGGGATTACTAGTCACAGTTTGGTTAAGGCCAAATAGTTTTTTGGGGTTTTTTTGGAGAGATTTTCGCTATTGGGCGCGTGCGCTCGCCAGACAGACAGAGAGAGACATTAGAGATAGAAAGCGAGAAATCACCCTTCTCCTCTATTCTCCTCTCAGGATCTTGGGCACGCACGCACACGTGCCTGGTGTGAGTTTTAAGCCACTGGGTCCGGGACGCGAACCGTGGTCAACTACATGGGAGGGAGTCCCGCAACATAGCCATTACGCCAACTGCTGGTTCCCAAGGCCAAATAGTTTTCAAATTGCTCAGGGTAGGGCCCGCTGCTGCATCATGAAGGAGGGTTTGAGTGAAATTAAATTGCTAATTATCGAGTGGGAGACACCAGGGGTTGTCTGTGTGTGGAATTCACGCTTTATTTATTTGGAATATTTATTTAATTTTATTATTATAATTATTTTAATTTGATCTGAGAGACAGAGAAAAGGAAAATGAGAAAGCAAGCCAACAGGTCCAGGACTTGACCCTCGTGCTTCACCCACATGCCACCTGCCGGCCCCAAACCCAGGCCCTTTAATACTTCCCTTTCGATGTTAATTTCTAACTCAGTCACGACAAGTTCGCAAAGAACATCTGAACTCGCCTAAGTCGTGCAAACGGTGGGGGTGCAGGAAATGCTTGACTGAACTCACCTCAAGTTGCAGCGACCTTTGGGCAGGTGTTTTGGATGCTGGCCTTTCTCCCGAGGGCTGGCTGGCCTCCAAGTGCCCCGTACGCTGCGGCCCAGCTAACACCTGGGCACACAGAGACGTGCGGGCAGAGTCCAAGGCACATCTTAGTGTGTCGTCTGGAGACCCCGCCTGATAGGAAAGCCCACCGGGCGGGGCGGGCTCCCCGGTGGCAGGCCCCTGCCCTCTCCGTCACCGTGCCGCCCTGGAACGTGCTGGTCGGCCTGAGCAGTGCTGCCCGGCTGCTGTGCCTGCTCTGTGGGCAGTTTAGTGGGTCTTCCTCGGCCGGACACGCTGCAGTGGGTGGTTGTGCAGAGTTACGGACCTACGAGGGTCACAGAACAGCGGCCCCCCAGTGGAAAGGTTGCCTCCCTAAGCTCTGTAACCACTGTGGGCGAGATGTCCTTGCCGCCCTCTTCAGACGTTTCTCCGTTCACGATCCGGCCCTTCGCTGTGGGGGTGAGGACTCCGTTGACTCTGCTCGCTAACACGACGTTTTGTTTTTTCCAGAACTCTAAAACTGTGGCCCGTGGATGTCACAGCCTGGGAAGTACCCTCGCCTGCAGCGCGAGTGCCTTGGTTACCCCTGGGCTGACCCGCTGACGCTCCCCGTTAACCATCCTGCGGGAGTCCCGCGTGCCCACTGCTAGAAACACGGCCCGCTTGTGTCGTTTACCGCAGCTTTGGAATTCTCATTTTTTCCTAACAAAATCGTTACATTTTTTAATACTTTTACCAAATTAAATCTTTTTTTTACTCACTCCTAATACTGTGTTCACAAAATCTTGTCACTGTTTCACCCTGGTGGATTAAGATGTTTTCAGTAGAATTTTCTTAGGCCGTCTGTCGTGTTTATTGCTGTAGTTCATCCTTGTGTGAAACGAGCCTCGATGGCTACGTAAATAAGAATGGGGTCGTTTTTAGGGTAGACAAAATGGTTTAGAGCAAAAGAACCAAAGAAACCAATAAGTATTGGGGGAAAATGCAATCCGATTTTTTTTTGAGGATTTTTTGCCATCGGGTATATGTACTCGCTGGGGAGAGGCAGAGAGAGGGAAAGTTAGAAAGCACCCCACGGGACATGGCCACGTTGCAGCCCTCTGTCCCCATCCTCCTCTCAGAGCTTTGGGCACACATGCACCTGGTGTGAGTTTTAAGCTGTCAGGTCCGAGACTCGAACCATGATCAGCGACGTGGGAGTTCAGTGTCTTAACCACTGCACCTCTGGCTGGCCCCACAAAATGATTTTAGATAGGGTGCCTTTGCATTGCTTTGATCTTAATGATGACATGGCTTCACGAATACACACCACTGGGAAGTGTTTCTTACCAGGGGAACCACGTAGCTTTTGAGTCCCTCTCGGATTTAGCTCTGGGTAGCTTTTAGGGTGTGGACTGCCCCACAGCGATTCTATGGTGCTGTTGCAGAGTCCTGAGCGCCAGCACCGAGAAGGCTCAGGGGTGTGGGCAGCATGTCTGGCCGAAAAGGGTGGGGGCCGGTGGGCTTACTTCGCTGTCCCCCTCAGGTGGAGCACCCGCAGAGGTCCAAGAAGGCCGTCTGGCACAAGCTGCTCTCCAAGCAGAGGAAGAGGGCGGTGGTGGCCTGCTTCCGCATGGCCCCGCTGTACAACCTGCCCAGGTCAGATTCGCTGTGATCTTCCACAGGTGTGGCTGTGGTCGGCCTTCCCACAGGGTGGGGGCCTCGGACAGGGATCCCCACGCAGGGCGGCCGCCTGCAGTCTGCCCAGCTGTGCAGCGAGGGTGGGTGGGTGAGCAAGTGAGGACCGGCCTGCGTCCGCAACTGCTCCCGCCGTCCCTCGCACCGTGCCTGGGCTCTGCCCTGTCCTCCCGCCTGCTGTGGCCAGTTCTGGCTTCTCATGGGAGTGCGGCCCCGATCGTGCGACTGCTTCCTTCACTAGGCTGTCAGGAAGTCATGGCATGATTTCCTGTTCCCCTGGGCACAGGGGTGTCATGACTCCCCAACACTCTGATGCACAGCAGTGTGGTGGTGAGAGCGGGGTGCTGGTGGATGTGGTGCTGGGGTCACCCTGTCCCCACGCCCTTGTCCACGGAGGGATCGTCTTCCATAGCTCCAGGCCCCGGTGCCAGGAAGTCTGGGGACTGCTGGCCCACGGGGTGGAAGAGCTTTATGGCTCTTCCACGTGACGTGGGGTTTCCCTTGCTGGGCATTTGGAGAGCTGGAGTCTGCGATGTACCCTCTGCGTTTGACTCCCGGTGCACTGGCACCTGGGTGCTCCCCTGGGTTACATGGTGAGAGGACGCAGCTCTTCTCTCCACGCCGACTCTGACTAGCACGCGCCCTTCTGCCCCTCGCGAGCCCAGCCCCACCATGGCTGCCACAGCCAAGTGCCCCTAGGGAAGCCTTGTCCTGCGGCCTGGGCCAGTCAGCTCTGACTCGACCCTGAGCACCCTCAGAGTGCGGGCAGTGCTGTCCTGAGGTTGGAGCGAGTGTGATGCGGGTAGGAATAAAGGGGAACAAAACCCGCCCGAACCTCACATCATCCAGTGCCGGGACGGGCACACTCAGCGTCCGAACTCCTTACCGTCCCCCCCCAAGCCTGCTGCTTCCTGGTCTCTGACTCCACCCTGGTGTCTCTGTGTGGTCTCTCAGAAGGGGACTCCGAGCTCATGTCCCTACCCTGTCCTGGGTACCCTGCACACCACGCCCAACTTCCCTCAGGCCCCGTGCAGCCCTCCTCTGAGGCCACCTCCGCTGCCACGCGCCCCTCAGCTCCTGTCCAGCTGGCGGCACTAGGTGGTGAGCGTTCGACGCCCCTCAGGTCTCTGTTCTCGCCTCCCACCTGCTGTTGTCAGAAATGCACCAAAGAGCCCTTAGGATGACCCAGGCCTCGGCTTCCTGTCGGGGCTCCGTGTGGGCCCGAGAGCCATGTAGCACCCCGGTGTCCTGCCTGGGTGGAGTGGCCCTTCAGCACACTCTGGCTGTGGCCGTGTGCCGGTGGCGATTCCGTGGGGCCCTTTGGGCTGTGACTCCTTCCCTGAGGCTCAGTTTCTCACCAGCAGCGGCTCTGTGCTGTCCCATGTCCTCTGAGCCCTCCTGCCCTCGAGGCTCCTCACTGTCGTGACATCTCGTCCTTGGTGTGCTGCTGGGTCCCGTGCCTCTCACTCACTCCAGGGGCTCCCCATGTCTCTTGGCCTCCGGGCTCTGCGTCTCGGCAGTTTTGTCGCCAGCATCCTGGGTTAACCCCTCCGGCAGGCTCACTTGGCGGAGCCCTCAGGGCCATTCCGAGCATGCATTTGGCCACAGACTCATCCCCGCCTTGATGCGTGTTGGAGCCGCGCTCAGAGCTGCTGGCGTGCTTTTGTGGCCATCTGTGAGCACTCCCCATGCGCTGTCACGTCACCCACTGTGCACAAAGCTGCAGTGCAGAAGGCGTCCTCCCTCAACAGTGGAGCGTGGAACTTGCGCTTCTGTGGCGAGCCGCGGCAGTGCTCCATCCCGAGGTGGAGTCCCGAGGGCCGAGAGCGGGGCGTTTACGGTGCTCCGCGATCCCAGTGCAGACGGTCTAGGAAGAAGTGCCGCCGAGCTGCAGAGCACCTTTGGTTAGTTTGTAAAGTTGTCTTTTTATTCTGCTTATGTTTTAGGCACCGGGCCGTCAACCTCTTTCTTCAGGGATACGAGAAGTCTTGGATTGAAGCGGAAGAGCACTACTTTGAGGATAAACTGATAGAAGATTTAGCAGTATGTCTTCTTGGGGTTCTGACACGGGCGTCTGGGCTTGGTGCAGGCAT